AATCTTACTAGGTTTGTCATTTTCACTTTTTAACTAGAGTATAATTAAGTACACACATTACGTACTGAGTACATAGTAACTGATGAAAAAACTGGATGTAGGTGCAACAAGCACTGATCACAGCAGCCCTGCCCTTTGAGAACATTCAATCAGTTTTTGGTTTTTTGTATTTTGTATCAGTTTGCATGTTTGTTATCTACTGTGTACTCCTAAGCACCTAATTATTTTTATCAACATCCCAGGCATACAGTCACAAACCTGGAAGACTGGCAAACCGTATGTTCCCATTGTGCAGATTAGACAAGCTCCCTGCACACATCCGTAGCTTTCCTCACGTGCACAGTGTCCTCCCGCAGTCCTGCTGAGGTTGTTGAATGCAGCACAGGTTGAGGTGCACTGCGAACCCCTTCATCCACACGCCAACTGCTTGGCTGACTGGCTGGCTGCTGTTCTCCCCATCTCTCACTCGGCCACGTAGCAGCAGTTACTGAGTTTGGGCTGGTACAGACTGCAATTACAGTGCTCTAAAGCCCTTGCCATACCGACGATGTTGAGGGCTGCACACTGCCCTGTGACAGGGAAAGGTGGTGGGGTTTGTAACTTCTCCTAGTTGCTTCATGACTGACCTCCAGCTCAGCTTCTCTACCAAGGTCCAGAGTAGCAAGAGTCTGTTAAGCTACTGGTGTTTATGACTCTAGAGATTATTTTCCAGAGCATTACATGTATATTGAGTTTTATGGATTAGAGATGAACTCATGGCTTCACTAAGTATGTGACTTGCCAGTTGCTTTATATAGGTATGTATTTCCTCTAAGCTGCTTGATAGAAATCCTGTTCATCTGCCTTGAATTTTTATAAACATTTTGCTTAAAAAATCCAGTGTCGTGCACATGGCGAATTATTTCATGTAATCTTAAGGAACTGCTTATTGGAAAAAGCTATTGGATCAAATCCTCTACTGTCCAGAGCTACGGAGTAGGTAGGGTAAAGAAGGAAAAGAAGGAGTAAAGGGTGTGTTCATATATTAAAAATGAGAGAGGGGGGAAAAAAAAAAGAAAAGGACAATTTTTCACTCTTCTCCTGAATTAACAGGTATATAACTGACAGAACTGAGTTCGGCAGCTACAGAGGTATGTACTTAAGCTATTTTTAGTGTATTATTTTATAGGAGTCAACGATATATTGGTTGAGTAGACAGTTTTTGCTTACATTTCTTTCATATCTCTTTTGCAATGTGTTGCTCTGTATAATTGAAAATACGATTTAAATAAGGCAAGCTCCTATTATCTATATATATTTCTAAATTCCCATTAGCCCAGATTTTGATAAGTAAATGAACTTAATAGTAACTTAAGGAAAACACCAAAGGGAAGTAGGATCATCCTTGCTGCTGGCACATAAACATAATGGACTAAATTAAATATTTAAAAACTTATTTTCTAATAAAAATCAGAAATGGAGTAATTTATGGCAGGAAGTTTTTATTTCAACAATTTACCCTGGATTTTGCCAGGGGTTTCTTCTGGATACGTACTGTTTACAAATTTTCAGATAGTTTCATCATATTTAAATCTAATATCTTCTTCTGAGAAGGGATCTCAGGCTCTGTGTAAGTAGCTCTGTTACTATCAGTCCAACTGAAGATTAGGGAATGGAATAAGTAACAGTGCTAACGCTTTTGTTAAGAGCTCTGCAGCTCTTAACAGTTCTCAGCTCTGCAGAGAGAGACCTCGGCGTCGTGGTAGATGACACGTTGACCATGAGGCAACAGTGTGGCCAAGAAGGCCAACGGGATCCTGGGGTGCATTAAGAAGAGCGTCTCCAGCAGGTCGAGAGAGGTGATCGTCCACCTATACACAGCCCTGGTGAGGCCACATTTGGAGCACTGCGTCCAGTTCTGGGCTCCCCAGTACAAGAGGGATGTGGAGCTGCTGGAGAGAGTCCAGCGCAGGGCTACGAGGATGATCAGGGGCCTGGAACATYTGCCMTRTGAGSAAAGGCTGAGGGAGCTGGGTCTGTTCAGCCTGGAGAAGAGGAGGCTGAGGGGGGACCTGATCAGCGTGTATAAATACCTCAAGGGAGGCAGTGAGGAGGAGGGGCCTCACCTCTTTGCATCACTGGCCACTGATAGAACTGAAGGAAATTACCACAAACTGAAGTACTGAAAATTCTACAGAAAAGTAAAGAAAAATTTCTTGACAATGAAGGTGGCAGAGCCCTGAAAGAGGCTGCCAAGAGAGTTTGTAGAGTCTCCATCTCTGGAGATCTTCCAAACCCCCTTGGACACAACCCTGTGCCACATGTAATAGGTGGCTCTGCGTGTACAGGAGCGTTGGACTAGATGTTCTCTAAAAGTGCCTTCCAATATTAAGGATTCTATGATTCCAAAAGTAGTCCTAGACAACCTGTATAGCCAGATAAAGCTCTAGGTCAATTGAGGTAAACTATAAAATCAACCCTTTTTCAGTTGTCCCTGGTGGTATCAGAGACCTATTTTTTGCAATAACATCAAAGGTAGATGGAAGAAATTTTTTTTGTAATTCTGTGCTTTTGTGTGTGTGTGCATTTGTGAGGTCCTGGCAGTCTCTCACATTAGCTTTACCCCAGGACTATCTGACTATCTGCACCATTTCTCCTGCTTAATGACTCCTTTTAAAGTAGTTTCAAGAAGTTTTACTTCTTTGAGTTTTTTTTGACTAATTTCACTGTTGCTGAGACTTATCTGAAGCACTGCAGCCAATAATTTTTGACTTTCTTTATATGGTAAACATGCCTGCATGTACCTGCCTGTCATCAGGATGAGGCTCTGGCCATACAGCCATTTATGCATAGTTCACCTCAAATTCCAAGCCTTTTTCCTTATGTTTCTTGTATACTTGGGGCGAGGGGTGAGTATAATAATCTGATTTATGGATGGCAGTACAGATCTCCACATATATATGAGCTAGTCATTTCTATTAGCAGGAAAAAACACCAGAAAATTTGTGTATGTTTTTGCATGCATACAGGATTTAGCAGGTTATGAATACAGGAAGCAGCGAAATATCCGGCTTCTTCAGCTGTATGCACTGCCAACTTGGCAAGAATCCCAAGAAACTTTCCCTCACAGTGTAGTATGACACCTGGATAAGCAGCTTCCCAAGCGGGTAGATGCTTCACTTCAGTGAGGCAGACACATCTTCAGTGCTTAAGACTAATTGCAGGAAAGATCGTTAGGAATGTAAGTAACAAACCTGTGTTAGCCTGAGTTTATGTGGCAGATAACTCAATTTTCCTGTGACTCTACAGGCTACTGAGGCCATGACTCCATCCTGTTCACAAGCAGTCTCACAAAGGCAGACAGTTTGTTAAACTGAAGGTCCAGGGTGAGCTGAATGTGCCTTCTGCTTTCAGTATCAGAGAGGTCTGAACAGGAACAGCACATAACGGTGGTCACAACTTGGAGAAAGGAAGCATCGGAAAGACAGGAGGATTATTTACTTTTAAATGTATTAGAAACAGGCACTTGGACTAGTAGTCTTGGATCAGACAAATAGAGTAGCTCGTGAAGAACACGTGAAAATGAAGAAATTCTGTACTTGAATCAAAAATATTTTCCCACTACCAAATCAGTTGTTTTATCTGTTTAGAAAAATATCAGAACAGTAATTACAGATTGGTCAGGTGTAGGACATAGGACATAAGCAATAAGGCTCTTAGTCCGAAAGATTAATCTGTATATATAAACAGACTTTTATAGAAGAGTAATACTGACTATATTTTTAGTTGGGCTTTTTTTAAGATACGCGATCTGGACACAAGAAAGCATACAGCTAATGGAGATAGTGTTCATCTACTATGCACGACTACTATTTAAAAAAAAAAAAAAAAAAGAGAGAGAGGAAAGGGTTAAAAAAAAAAAAAAAAAAAAAAAAAAAGAGTAAGTGAAGGTGAATGTGTATCCTGAATAACTCTCCTGCAGGTGAGCAGATCCTTTTGATGAAGCCTATTGAAACACTGTAGCTGCACAATTTCTGTGGTGCTTCCATGAGACTTCTCACATTTTCAGGTGCTTTAAAATGATGATCCCATGTCTTTCATTCTGAGAAAGTGAAGTAGTTAACTCCCCAAAAGTTAGCTTAAAATGGTGAAAGGTCAGAGATATAAAGTGAGTGTTAGAACACTGAAATGTAGTTGGATCCACGGCTGAAAGAAAATCTAAAGCAGCTTCACGATTAACAATGTAATGCATATAGTATAAATAATAGCTCTTTTTCTGTGGGATGTTGATACTTTGCAAAATCTTTTTAAATGGGTTTTGTGTAATTTACAAAAACATGACATCACATGAGGTGGGGTTATCACCCCATTATTTTACTTTAATTAAAAACTAACAAGTCTCCTCCACTCACATCTTGCTCCGTTGCTTTCCTAGCTGAGTATCTTTGCAGCTCCCTGCCCCAGATATTTCATTGACCTTAATACTTGACTGTGCCCTAGGTAATGGTCTCAGCTGCCTATGTACAGCTGCCTGCCTATTCATTAATCCTATTTGCTTGGCAGGGCTGAGCGGGATGAAAGCTTCAGGAGGAAGCTGTGCTTCCAGAAACCATTATGGGAAACGCTGTGCTGCCTCTGGCTGCGGCAGGGCTGCCTCGGGCGTTGCTCCGGGGCAGAGCGAGGCGAGGTCGGGCCATTCAAACGCGTTGACCGTTGGGGCCGTTAGCCGCCGACGCGAGGGCATGAGGAGGGGGCGGGGTCCAGCCCTCCAGCTCGCCCATTGGCGGGCGCTGCTGTCAGCCGGAGAGGGCGGGGCCGGCGCCTATAAAAGCGGCGGCGAGGGGGCGGTGCGGGGCAGTGGGCGCCGCGCGGCGCGGGGGGTGTGGGCGGTGCAAGGGCCTGAGTTGGGGCTCTTCCCTGCTCGGTGGCCGCCCCTCGCCGCGGTCCCCGGCTCGCCGTGCTGCGGGCAGGGCAAGGGGGGCGCCTGGCGCCTCCGTGCCCTCGGGCGGGTGGGCGGCGGGATGGTGGACGTGTTCAGCGGGCGGCTGCTCGTGGACAAGGCGGGTCGCAGCGTGGAGGCCGAGGAGGCGCTGCAGAACAAGGTGGTGGGCTTGTACTTCTCGGCCAGCTGGTGCGCGCCGTGCCGCGACTTCACGCCGGTGCTGTGCGGCTTCTACACGGAGCTGCTGGAGGAGACGGAGCCGCCCGCGCCCTTCGAGGTGGTCTTCATCTCGTCTGACCACAGCGCCGAGGAGATGGCGGGCTACATGCGCGCCATGCACGGCGACTGGCTCGCGCTGCCCTTCCACGACCCCTACAAGCAGTGAGTACTCCCCGAGCCCCAGCTCCAGAGTGCCCAGCGATGAGCGGGAACAACAAGTGCTGCTGCCCGAGTCGCTCCTGCCCGTGACGCGCCCTCCACCCCCGCCCCGCGCCCTTTCCATCCCTGCTCCTGCCGCGCAGTGGGAAATGGAGACCGCGGAGTCTTCTGTAACGTAAAACGGCCGCCCAGCGCCCCGGGGTAGCTCGGCTTTCAGCCTGACTCTGCTACTAGCCATCTCACCCTTACCTGTAGGTAGGCTATCCCTAAAAATTAAGCCTGCTTTCATCGGAGATAGAACTTTAGCCTGCCCTATTAAAAAAAAAAAAAAAAGCCTCAACTGCATGATTTTTTAAAAGATGTGGGTCAAGGAAAGGTTAGCAAGGGATCAATGCTGTAATAAGGTAATATGCGTAGGCAGTCACTAAGACTTTAGTGGGGAACAAGGATCAAGTAACTACTTTTTCAGCCCAGAAAAGATTATTAGTGAGGTTGTGCTGGGTTTGTCTAATTTCATGGATGAAATAAAGGCAAATGAAGGAGTGGAAGGACTTGCAGCCGAAAAGCCTGTGTGAGAACAGAGCAGGATCTGCAAAATTTCATGTAGGTAAGCCAGTGAAATGCAGTAGCAGCTGTCAGAGATTTAGGTGTGATGAGGACAGGGGATAAAAGTTGATGAGGAAAATGCCCTCTGCTTGTAGATTTATAAATCAGCCTTAATGAAGGCAGCCCTCTCCTTGTAGATTTATAAATCAGCCTTAATGAAGGCATCTTTGTTGATGCCCTGCCGTGGTCAAGAGGAAAACGTCCTGCTAGTTACACACGCGAATGCTGACATGTCGTGGAAGTCAAGGATGCACCTTCATCTGGAATACCATCAGAGTATGAGTTAGTGCTGCACAAGAAGGATAGAGTGGGTTTGTGATAGATAAAACGTTCAAGGGCACTAAATGTTGTAATTGAAGACTGAGATGCCTTTAATTGGACACTGAAATGATAACTTAAATATTTACACAATATAAGGCTGTATGATAGAAGTAGAAGGCACATATCATCTATATCCTGTAATGTAGGAATAGCAAGGTGGTATTCCATGTAATCAAAGTGGCGAAATCCGAGCTGGTAAAGGGAAACTTTTCCTTTGAAGATAAATACTTGGAGATTGTGGCGTGTGCTATTATAGATGTTGCCAAAGTCAAGGAGTTAGCATGGGCTGTGTAATCTGCAAGAAGATTTCGAAGTCTTACAGTTAAAAGGGCTCTACTCTAACTTTTCTAGTAACTGAGCAGTTTCATTTAATGCTAGATCCATGCTTATGTTTAGAGTATAATGGCTTATTTGGCTAGGAGGAGGCTTGCTGATGTTGTTTTGTTGGGGCACTTTGACCACCTCAAAAGCAAACAACCTACATCCTGAAAATAGTTCATCCTGGGATCTTAAGTGGGTGTTTCAGCAGAAACAATGTAATGCATATAGTATAAATAATAGCTCTTTTTCTGTGGGATGCTGCGGGTTAATATGACTTTATCATGTTTTTAAATTATAGTTTCCAGTGATTTGAAGCTATGTTACTGTAACAATACTGTTTTCTGCAGTTCTGCAGATGCTTCCTGCATTTGATCATTACTGATGGAATTCAGGCAGATTTCCTCGTACATTCAGCAAGCCATTTGGCTTGGTCATGGGAATGTGCTTACAGCCTTAGCCTTGGGGATTAGGCTTCTATTTCTGCCTGTGCCATGACTTAGCCAGGTCTCATGGATCAGAAGTACAGAGATAATTTGATAGTCTTTCCTAAGCAGTTCATGTTGTCCTTCAGACTGTGCCCCTAAGGAGCACAGTGCATCTTGTTGCATAGCTGTAGCATTATGGTGTATGAGAGGGCTGATTAATGAAGAAAGAGCAGAGGGATGTAAAAAGCCACCAACCTTCGTGTGTTCTTAGATATTTAGGTACAACAATAAATGGCTGCATGACATAATGGCATAACTCAAGAAGTTAACATGAATTAATACCAATTAGCTTGATTTCAGAGATGCCGAAGATGAGTTGTTGAGAGGTGAGTTGTTGCAAGCATTAGACCTTGCAGACATGGGTTGGTTAAGGCAAGTTATGGTTCTTACTAAATTCTATAGTTCTTGGTATGAGAGGTGTAGTTCTAACATTACTGTGGCAATTGAGTAGTTTTTCCAGATGCTTAAGATTTGCAGTGCAGATGGAAATTCCTTCTAGGGAAGGCGGAGCCAATTTAAAATTTTTTATGTAAAATACAGTTCACACTCCAGAAGCCTGGAGTTCATTTGGGATGAATTTTATTGTGTGAACAAAATAGTCTTCAACGTAGCACTTTGCAGAGAAGCAAAAATCTGAATTCACCACAGGATTCTGGACCACCTTGTATAGGCCTATAATCCTGACAGTAATCTTGAGTGGAAATGTCTCGTGTGGTGCTGCATCTTTTCTACTTGATAGTCTGGTAGCAGAAAATACACTTTCTAGTAACTGCCTTTAGCTTGATCCTTGCAGGAGAGGAATTGAGACATCCAGAAGGCAATGAACATTAGGGGAAAGGAAGGGGCTAGCATAGAGGAGGAGTAGGATGGCAAATGGCAGCAACTGACCTTATCAAATGAGGATCCATCTTTTTCTTACAGTTCACAGTGATATGGTGAAGCCTTACTGAAATCAGTTACGCTCTGTATGGCTGTTAGTTCTTGCACGCTGCTAGATGGACAGATATTTACTAAGTTGATGTTCTGTCCATCGCAATGAAAATCAGCATCCAAAAAGATTATTGAAAAATGGAGAATCAAAAGTGTGTGATTAAGCTTTATAATCAGAAGCTTGAGGTGTGATGGTTGACAAGCACGTGTGAAGGAGGCCAAGAGGGTAGTATAGAAGGGGGAGGCCAAAGACATTGTGGGCAGTTAAGGACCGTAGCTGCTGCTTTATCTTTTCTGGCTGATATCCAGAAACTTTTAATAGATACATTCTTAGGAATTCTTTGCTTGTTTACGTATCTAACACTTAAAAATGCAAAAAGTTCACTGCTAAAGAGATGCATGTATAGAACTGTGGATTGTGGTGAGTACTGCTAGAAACAGATTAGGCATCCATTGCTAAAAAAAATGTCCTTTGAGTTATGAACCTTATGCTCTCCTTTGAATGTAAATTTTTTTGCCATATATTGCAAAAGTATATAGCTTTTGTTTTCCTGAATGTTTTACTTTTTGGTTTCTTATATGTGTGCCAACTATATTTTTTGGAAGAGCAGGAAGAAATGACTCGAGCATTCTTTGCTGTTTGAATTAAAAGTATGAGCTCATGTTTTGTTATAGTTCTGTCTAATGTGTTTGTACCACAAAGAAAGAGTTACTACAATGAAGAGAGATCACTGTGTCCAATATACAAAAATGCTTTAGTTCCTCCTCTGTATAATCTTTATAGTTTAAAACTTAATGCTTATGCCATAAGTTTGTCATGAGGAAAAATACTGTGCCTGGTATTTTGCTAAGAATAAAAAGCTTCTTTTTTTTATCTTTTTAGAGCGTTTGCTTAACATTAAAGTTTATGTATATACTGTTCATATTCTAAACATATTCACTTTGTTCATGTTGTCTCTATATCAAAGAACTGCTTGCATATAAATCTTAAACTCTATTATAAAGCTATTTAGCTAGTAGCATGAAAACTTTGCATTCCCAACTTCATGCAGCCTTTTCAATAAAAGACTTAATAACTTTCCCAGTCTGTGTGAATTATCTTAGCTTCACCTTTTTATATTTCTTATGCAATTGAAAGTTTGTCCTTCCACATTATAACCTCATGCATGGCCAAGGACTGATGTTTCAAAGTATTGTCTAGAACACTCTTTCTACTTGCACAAAAGTTGCCAGTTCAGTTTGCCCAAGGTATCTTCTGTGTAGCTTCCCCTTCTGCTTTTTCCGATTGAGCCTCCAGTTAGTATGACACTAAACTTGCAGTTACAACACCTACCTGGAAATATCTCTAAAATATGTTATTGTGTCATTTTAACTTGGCTGAAAGAGAACAAAGTTTGCAGTTGTGACATGAGAGATGTTTCTGTTTATGGCTAGTGATTTCATAAATTGTCACTGGAGTTAGTCCATCTGATACATGGTCTGTATGTTGCCTGTGCAGTGAGTCACAACATTGGAGATCCCTACAGGAGAGAGTAATCTTATCAGGTTTTAAAAAGCTCTTTTTTTTTCCAAGCACCTTGCACAGTGATCAAGAAGGATTCTCTGCACTTCTCTGTACTCTGCAAGGATTCCTGAGTCTTTCTCCAGGTACTTATATTACTGATTGCACATAAATGCAAACAAGATTTGAGCATGCTTCAGTCTGGTGGCATGCAAGTTACCTTCACTCCAAAGGTTGTGTATACATGGTTCTGTGCTGGAGTGGAGAAGATGCGTGGGTATTCCATTCCTTAGGAAAGGAAAATGTTAGTTCCTGCCAGTCTCCATAGCAAATTACCTTCAGTTTTATGCTGTCCTCATCTCTGTTAAAACTGTGCCAAACACTTCAAGCTATTTGTGTGTGTGTGTGTGCGCACTCAACTATTAAAATGCTTCTTCCACCCATCTTGTTTATGGTGACAGTTGTACAAGACAGTAGTCTTTTACATAGTTTTTTACATAGCTTCTACATGGACTTGCTTTGGAATGTGGGGTTTATTTTGTTTTGCTCCCATTTTTGCAGAACTTGGGATGGTCTTGGTTGCTTGTTTCTATTTAGGAATTTTCTGGTAAGCAAGTGAGCCTGTTGCTACAGTACATTATAGTTCTTTGGAAATATTTTTTTTTTTTTTGTGTTGCTGCTCTGCTATCTTGCTAGCATGTCTTGGCATCCTTCATCTGACGTGGATTTTTCTTTTGTATCTTTCTGCAAGAGAAGATCTGTTTTTAGAATGTCTTCTCTAGATCTGTAAGACTTGTGTTGGATACTATGTTTTAACTCCTCCCATTTTCAAGGAGAATGTAGAGGTAATGTAAACTTCCGATAGCTTTGCACAATGGCTATTAATTTTTTTCTGCTTGATCAAAATCGTATAACACTTGAGCCTTACACAGTAGAGGCTCTTGCTTGTAGCTGTGGTGTTCAGGCATTAGAATTCTCTTTAGTGTTTTTTGTTCGATGTCATTCTTGGACAAAAAAAAAAATGGCAGATGGCTTTCCTAATATTGCTTGTTTCTTTCTGTTGTGATTCTTCTAAGGGTGCTTGATTTCTGCTCATTTTGATGCAATTCAATGTAGGAAGGTATTTTCATATTTCAAATTTTTCATGATGTAGATGATATTTCTTCTGGGAGGATGTTACTTTCAGGTTATTTATTGTAGTTGACTTAATTTTTTTTCTGATAGCTCTTGTGAAAGACATGACCTCTGCTTTAAGCTGATTGCATTTTCTTCTGGGAATTCTTGGTAGGTTACACTAGTAGCAGGTGAACAGTCGATTTTCTTTATGTTCTTCAGTTCCTGTTAGATGTGACAATTGTTGCATATCCGTGAATATGTCTGTGACCATTACTTCCATTCTTCCCACTAAATTTCTGGAATATCTCTTATGAAGCTGATATGTTAGAAGGCATTCTTTTGAAGTTACTTACAAAATGAATTATTGCAAATTAGTATTAATTTACTGATCTCTGATTCCTCATGCAGATGATGGCCTCTGAATAATGTCATATGGTAGAAGGCACCTAATAGTTAATAGTTTTTCTATGTTGTCACTTAATATGTGACAACATAGAAACAACATAGACAACAATTGTTCTATGTTGTCACTTGTGGGACAGATGAGTGGACGGGGAGGTGGATTAGGAATTGGCACAGTGGCAGGGTGCAGAGAGTGGTAGTCAGTGGCGCGGAGTCCAGCTGGAGGCCTGTAGTTAGCGGGGTCTCCCAGGGGTTGGTCCTCGGTCCGGTCCTGTTCAACTTATTCATTAATGACCTGGATGAAGGGCTGGAGTGCTCCCTCAGCAAGTTTGCTGATGATACCAAACTGGGAGGAGTAGCTGATAGCCCTGAGGGCTGTGCTGCCATGCAGAGGGACCTGGACAGACTGGACAACTGGGCGGTGAGAAACCTCATGAAGTTCAACAAGGGCAAGTGCAGGGTCCTGCACTTGGGGAGGAATAACCCTGGACACCAGTACAGATTAGGGGTGGACCTGCTGGAGAGCAGTGCTGCAGAGAGGGACCTGGGCGTCATGGTGGATGACAAGATGACCATGAGGCAGCAGTGTGCCCTGGTGGCCAAGAAGGCCAACGGGATCCTGGGGTGCATTAAGAAGAGCATCTCCAGCAGGTCAAGGGAAGTGATCATCCCCCTCTACTCAGCCCTGGTGAGGCCACATCTGGAATACTGCGTCCAGTTCTGGGCTCCCCAGTACAAGAGGGATGTGGAGCTGCTGGAGAGAGTCCAGCACAGGGCTACGAGGATGATCAGGGGCCTGGAACATCTGCCCTATGAGCAAAGGCTGAGAGAGCTGGGCCTGTTCAGCCTGGAGAAGAGGAGGCTGAGGGGGGACCTGATCAGTGTCTATAAATACCTCAAGGGAGGCAGTGAGGAGGAGGGGGCGGCCTCTTTTCAGTGGTGGCCAGCGACAGGACTAGAGGAAACGGCCACAAGCTGAGGCACCAAAAGTTCCACAGGAACTTAAGGAAACATTTCTTCACTGTGAGGGTGACAAAGCACTGGAACAGGCTGCCCACAGAGGTTGTGGAGTCTCCTTCTCTGGAGATCTTTAAAACCCTCTTGGATGCAGCCCTGTGCCACGTGCTCTAGGTGACCCTGCGTGAGCAGGGGGGTTGGACTAGGTGACCTCTGAGGTCCCTTCCAACCTTAAGCATTCTGTCATTCTATGAATATGAAAGGAGTTACAGACACCCTGGACAAGTTCTGACTTTTATTATCAGCAGTCTATTTGTTTCTTTAAATCCAGGACATGATTTCTTTTCTACATTGGTTTTAATGAAAAGAATTTTGCTGTTGCTGTGCATTTGGAAACAGCTAGTTTTTTGTGGTGTTCTGAAAAGTATTCTAAGGCAGGAGACTTCAGGCATTTTTATGCTTTTCTTTGTGAACTGTTTCTGGAGTGCCAGGAAACACCTGGGGCCTCTCCTATTGAGGAGCTCTCTGAGCCACAAACACTCACTTTATTTGATGTCCGTTGAAATAGTCAGTGCTGGGCTGCGGTAAACTCAGATCTCTTTCTCTTTTTTTTTTTTAAATATAGTGTCCTCTGATATAACTTAATGAAGTTTTTGCCAGTAGGTGTTTGTCAGTGATTTTTTATTTTATTTTAGTCATTTGGTCGCAATATTGCTTTTACTGGCTTACTTGTATCCTAAATTTGTTTTGTATATCCCGTCACCATCACTTCAAGTGAGGTGAATTTCTTGTGTCTAAGATTTCTGGTTTTTTTTTTTCGCAACAAAGACATTTACTTGTGCCCTACTTGCAGTTCTGAATTCTGTCTGATTCTTTAGGATCTATGAAAATAGATAGAGATGGCATGTGATTTCCATCCTTTTTTTTTTTTTTTGCATGCTGCTTCTCTCAACTCAGCTTTGCGAATTTTGTTTTACTGTGTGGTATGTAATTAGTCATCATGGCTTCTTATTTATCATGTGCCAATGTCAGCAGGTATTCTTGTTCTTTTTTGGATGTCAAATAATTTTTTCTTTTCCCTCCTTAATGTTAATTTTATTTCCAATATTAATATTTCATATATTATATTTCCACGTATCGTTAACTCAATCCGATTAAATTTCTATCCTTCCATATGACAAGTCCTTTCTGATTAATTTTTCCTGAGTTCCCTCCTCATTAACTTATTGAATAGATACTGATTTCTTTCATGAAATACTCTTGTTTCTTTAAACTTTATTAAAAAAAATATATATATATTTATCAGAAAACAATAGATTACAGGTATACAGAGTGAGCTGGATATTTCTATCTCGTGACATAGAGAAAAAGACACTAAAATGGGGATAGAAGTTGAATTTTTTTCTTGGACTGTTTAGTGTCTAGTCCTCATTCCAAATCTTTTTTTTTTTTTCCCCTCCACATCTTTGTGTTGTTTATATATTTTTGTCTGTGTAGAAGACCTGATTGCTCAAGGAATTTTTTCCTATAATTCTGGTATCCTCTGCCATGTTCTAATTTTTAATGTGAATTTTAAATAACTTTATATAATAGCCTACTTAAATTTGTATTAATTTGCTTGAGATCCTTCCCTTTTGTTGCCTCCTTGTCCAGTAGAATGACCTGAAGGCATGTGCAAGTAAACACATCCATCCATCCTCACCCATATCCCACTGTTGGCTGGTTCACTGCTCCATGTTGTCAGGAAGCCCAGACCCTCACCATTCTTGCTCTCCCATGTGCAATGAATAGGATTCACTTTGTGAGAGACCAGATTTCTTAAGATTATTCCTAACCATGTTTTTTGTTGTTTTGTTTTTTGTTTTCTCTCCCACAGTGACTTGAAGAAGAAATACAACATAACAGCCATTCCTAAGCTGGTGATTGTGAAGCAAACTGGAGAAGTCATTACAGACAAAGGAAGAAAACAGATCAGAGACAAAGGGCTTTCCTGTTTTCGAAACTGGCTTGAGGCTGCAGATATCTTTCAGAACTTTTCTAGCTAAAAAAAAACTTGGCAGACAGAACCAAGACAAGGCATCATGGAAAATTTTGTAGGGCTCAAGAGTGTTGCCTTGTTCAAAACGAAATGGGTAACGCTGCATTGTTTGTGTTTGCTTGTAAAACAGTTTTTGTTTTAGTTCAACTTGCAGATTAGATACTCCAGTAAGACAAAAAAAATATATTTATTAGCACTGTTTTGTTTATTCAGTATGAACCAAAGAAATCCTGATAATATTGAGGAAATTTAGGATGAAAAGCTCTTTCGGACAATAACAGAGCTCTGTGAAATCTATGCAAATACCTGATTTTTGCAGATCTGTACAGTTAAAATTATGCATACATACAAGTCTATTTTGTAATTAGCCTATATATTTTATCAAAAAGTATTGTTCAATAAATGTTTATGAAATTATGCATTTAATGTCTGTCTTCTGTCTTGCTCTAGACTGAATATAGCGTTTTTTTTTTAAATGGTTCATATTCGTTTAAATATCAGTACTGAAGAATGATGTGGGGGTTTTTATTGCTTTTGTGTAAGGTTTATATAAAAGTTGTTGAGTATTCCTTATCCTTGAAATTTTAAATTTGATTCCATAAGGTGACTAGTTATCTCCCAGGTCAATATCAGGCTGAGCCAAAGAATATCAGTGTAAAACGGGAGAAAGTGCTTTTTTTTTCTTTTTTTTCTCTTTTCTCTTTTCTTTTCTCTCTTTTCTCTCTTTTCTCTCTTCTTTTCTCTCTTCTTTTCTCTCTT